ACTTTTAGAATGAATAGCCAGTGTGCAGCGTCCATAAGTAGGCACACCAGCAAAAAACTGATGACACAATAGTGCACTTAGAAGTGCAATACAGCCACTCTTGGCAGTGGTCGTGATTCAGTGGTTAACGTAAAGTCTCGCAAATTCTTAGAGTTAATTCGTTCAAGACTCTTTTTTGGTGGAGCTACTTACTAGAGTAATTCTACATTTTTTCTCCATTATTTTTTTTTAATACTGAATTGACTTAGTCCCCATTTACTGCATGAAAATTTCCGAAACTTATGCCGTCACAGAACTCTCTAATTCGTAAAACTTATCGTCATTTTTCTGCTCACCTTTCTCGATTTTAGTGGTCTCTTACGTAAAAACTTAGAATATAGGTTAGTAAGTACGACATAAGGTAAAAGTTTCAAAGAAATCATTTTTCCAAAATCTCATGAGCGCGAAATCTCTGTAAATATAAAAAAACTGAGGTATATTAACAAGATAAATGTACTTTTGGTGATACTGACACGTAAGGTTAAAGTACCACTCAAGAACGGTTTTTGTCAAGTGTGTTCTTATAATTTTTCGAAAAAAAATTGAATTATTTTGCGTAAATTTTGATTCTTCTATAGATATTTTTCTTACCTCTAATATTTTAATTTTTAAATCCCTTTATAGTGTTATAAAATTTATTTATTGATAAAACTTCATTAATGAATTGTGTCTGTTACATAAAACATCATTAAAATTTCTGTCCTACGGTTGAAACATGATGTCCCACGTATGAAGCACACATGTATTTTCATGCACTCAGTGTGTTTCACACGAGGAGCATCATATGTTTCAGCTTATGCTCCCGATTTGTCCTAATTTCAAGCAGAACTTTACGACAATTTTTTTTTTCATTTACCAGAACATAAAAAGATTAAAAATTTTTTATGTTTAAGGAAGTTTACAACATTGTACAAAAATAATTTTTTTGTAAGCTGCCATCTAGAAGTCTATTTACTTCTTACTGTTTTATGTAGGAGACAATATTTCTTAAGTATCTCTAAATGGTACATTATTATACATAGAAATAGAAAATTAAAACCATTAAAAGATTTCTAAATGCATGGACATGAACATTTAAAATAAGGAGTCTTTTATTTTTTATGACTTCTGTAAAACACACAGTTTACACAACCAGATATGCAGCTAGCTTAGACATATAGCTTCACAGAAATACATAAAAAGACGTATTTCTTATAATAAATATAAGGTTAACTATTGACATAACCAGTAGCAATATCTTATACATGAAATTGAATATTTTGAATTTTTCAAATAAAATTTCTTAATTTGCGTTGTACGTGGAGAATTAACCAAAGAAACTAAGAAATATTAAGCAAGCAAACTCACATAAAGAAATTCAGGGTAACACCTAGCTCTCTCCCATTATTTTTTTTTATATATCTTTGTAATATGATACAATACGAGCTTGTCACGATACAATACTTTGCCAGCTCTGTCATCAGTGTCTTCCTCATATGTAACAGTATACTGCATTTATACGGATGCATATAATATACGCTACTGTTTACTGCGTTCAATCTAATTCCAGTCGATTACAACGTTGTGTGATAAGATATCGATCTACACTTTTTTTTAAATAATTAAGAGGTGTCTTCTGCTAATAATATAACAGTGCTTTAATCAAAAAGAACTATTGCTTTAGTTGAAGAAACAAAACAGAAGGTAAACTATCATACGGGGTCGTATCTTACTAAAAAATTTAGTTTTGACAAGGCCGATAAAAAAAACATTTTATCTAAAAGGAATAGCCAAATACGTAAAAAATAATAACTTTTACTGATTTTCAAACGCTACAAAAATGTTTAAGGTGCAAAACTGTAAAGGTGTTCAAAATTATAAGATTATTACCGGAAAAATTTTTTTTCCCAGAACTTTTGGATGCTATTTTCACTGCGAAAATAACTATTGAAAGTGTAAAAAAACGGAGTTACAGCAGTGGACCTCAAAACACTTACTATTGGTCGAGATCGTAATAGTTTCACGAATACATAAACAGCTTTTTCTTCAGCTGGATAGGACATAAAAACTCGTTTTTTATCGATTTTATTGTTTTTTCAGGATTCGATTGATTAAAAAAGTGGTTGTTAGACTAAAATACATATCAGGTGGGAATACCTTTTTTTTAAAGCCAGCACTATATGTGACAGAGATCGTAAGAGTTGTTTACTCTTATACATGTAATAATAGAGTTCTGATCCCCTTTGCGCACCAACTCTCACAATTACTCGTTATTCCATGCTTTTCCAGATGAAATCCAAAAAAAATTCTGCGGAGATTCGTAGGGGTATGTGGGGTGGTCAGTAGGGTTTAAGTAGTATGCTCCACGCAAACAACTATTCATTTTACGAAGATATATAATATGTATGGTAACGTAAATTCTGACATATGAGCACAGTGGTTCTGTTTGTAAATGTGGATCCTGACCAAAGCGGAACTTACCAGAATTACCGATACATAAGTGACCTCTCTTATTACATACGTAATACTTACAGCACTATTCCCATAACCTTCTATCGCAGATCTATATTTAAGGGAATAACTAATGTTCTATATAAGTAAATACAATAAAACTTAACACACTTACTTACAGTAAATCTTCTTATTCCTCATGCATTACATACAATCATGACATATGATTCAGCTAAAAGTCATCCCCTCATTAACTACTGGAAGATTTTTTGAGTCATCTTTCGTAAAATCGGCTTTTTATTTATTAGCCATCAAATAATGTGTATAGATATAGAATAAGCTCATTTTTATAACTTTAAGGTTGAGCAACTCATATGATCTCTATTTTTGCTCTTAGTACAGATTTGTCAAACAAAATTATCTGCCTCTTGTACGTTTCTTTGACTCCTTATCACAAGTTAGTTAGAAAAATGCTAATAACATAATAAAAAAATAAATATATTACCACATATTTTGTGTTTTTTCCTCAAGGGAAAGCTGTATATATATATATATATGTGACATCACAACGGTCTCAACCAATAGAAAGCGTTTTGGCTCCAGGGAATAAAATCTAGTTTTTTTCATTTGCTATAACTTTTTTTGCAATGAAAACGGCATCAAAAAATTTTGGGGTAAGAAATTAAACTAAGATCAAGGATTTTTATTAAATAAAGGATTAAAATTTAATTTATGAGCAATGCCAATTTTAACTACATTAAGAGATTAGTGGAACGCCCTCTGTCCTCGCACGGTCAGATAGAGTCCTAATGTAACGTACGCCTATACCGACCCAGGCAGTGGGACAGCTGGCGAGCCACTTTGAATGCTAGGCGGACCACCGTAGTACAGCAGCAGTACTATCTATACAGTACAGCAGTTGTCCCGGTATCTAGTGCATGGTCTGTTCTGGTTCGTGGTGCAGTATATGTCTACGACACAAGCTATTAATAATATCTATTAGATAAGTTACTTGTATCTTATAGATAATAATGTATGTATATGATACATAGCACATCAGTACTGGACATATCTATAAATACTATTCACTGTATAGGTGCTACCTGTGCGTTACTCTGTCACGAAAATAATAACTACAGCCGTGTGTATATTGAAAGTATATATGTATATTCACGTATTTATGAAGATCCTAAATAGCTCATCTTTTTTGTAATAAATTTTTTGGACTCAGAAATCGAAAACAAAAGCAATAAAAAGCTAAGAGGGTGTTGGCTTGAAAAAAAATGATTTTTAAAGTAACAAAATTCAAAATGTTTTATATTATTTCTAAAAACATTTATACATTTTAACCTTATAACTGTATTTTATTAAAAAAAAATTCTCTCTCCAAACTGTAAAATAAAGATTTTTATTCAAACGAACTATGATAAAAAATAAGTTTTAATTTTAAATTTTTATGATATTTAGTTTATATAAAATTAGATTGTAAATTATTATACTGTATAAGTTACCAGTGTCATTTACAATAACGTAATAAGTGGCAAATAATAATACAAAATATGTTCCTTCTCAAATAAATTGATCAACTTTAAAACACACCGTATTATTTTTAATACATCTTAAAGCGACACGATTCATAAACGTGCATACATATAAACGCATTTAATAATATACATCTATATCCGTATGCACACATGCACGTTACATACACATATGCGCGTCAAGTATGCATTATGATATATTATACTGGACGCTCGGCACGCGAGCTAGTGTGGGTACATCTAATGTACTCGTCAATAGCACGTTAATAGCACCATACTTGTGTCACATTGCTTGTGCTGCAAGAGTAGAGCGCCTGGCGTCCCACTCTGGGTCGTCTCTCATCCCAACGTACGTGATAGCTCAGCCATGCCACCTAAAGGAAAGAGGGCGTTTCACTAATCTCTCAGTGTAGGTATATTTTCTAAGATCTTGAGTTCAGTAGTAAATAGTTCCTAAGTCTTACTTCTTTTCAGGGCTCGAGACCGATACCTCATCATTATTTTCTATTTTTCAATAAATTTTCTTTTAATTCATTACATTTTTTTTAATTAGTGCCAATAAACGTTATTTGATTCTTAGAAGTGTACTATGAGATTCGTTTGAAGAATAAATTTTGCACCAGATATTTCGTACCATGATAATATCACCAATTTCTCTTTTTTTGTGAATAAGGTGCTTGATGATTGTGTTCATGACTTTTGTAGCATTTTAAAAGCAATTGTAGTAATTTTTCTTACCTCAGATATGTTTTCAGATTAAAGTAGTAAAAGAATGATCACTAATTGTAACTATTGCTAACAGTTATAAAATTGTATTATCAATCTTAAATGGAGACTTTGTTAGTTTCTATTATTCGCTACTATAATCATTTATCATCTATCATTAACTAAACTAATCTTAAAGTGCAATGTGCGTTAGTAGAAGCAGCATACTCGTTTAAAAAAAAAAAAAAAAATATACAATTATGAGAATAAGTAACTATAGCTTACCAAGATTGTGGCCTTCACAAGTCAATTGAATAAATCTAAATAATGCACAAGTAAATTCGGCATCATGCATATTTTTTTCTCCAGCTGCACCTTCTGACCCAACTCCCAGACCTTCAGCTTTAGTATTTCTTTCGAAAGCGTCAAGATCCAAAACACTACAACTGTTCATCAGACCTGCTATTGACGTAAAGAAGCCTACATCTTTCTTTTCTTTCAGATGGTTTAACATTCCCTTCTGAATATCAATATTGCCACCTCTTAAAATTGAGATACCCAGTTGTAGCGTCTTCATAACCATCTCACTAGGAATGCCTTTGCATGCCGAAATATGCAAGAGAACCATCTCTGCTACTCCACGGTCAGCTAAGCGTGCTTGGTTAAACAGGAGTTTTTGTTTTTCAATCTCTTGCTCCTGTACAATACCAAAGAAATAATTGATGTTATAGTTTTCAGTTATAAATTTTGTTTGCAATAGTTAGTTATAATGATAAAATTACTGGATCGATATAAGAGTAGAATATCTGAAAATGAAACAGCAAAAATACAAATCTCATTTAATTAACATTTTCTTTTATTTTTTTTCCTTATAAATCTCCTATTTATAAGATAGTTGCCTCATAGATATAATTTTGTAATAGTAAGTGTTTAAATTGAGCCCTCCTTAATTTCTTTGGACTAGACTGACTTTCCTACTTCTTCAGTGGCTTAAAATTAAACAGACTTCTTACACATCAATTTAAATATGTTTTATATACCATTATATTTGAAAATTTATTGTATATCATTTGTTATATTTTGAAAGTCAAGTTGAAGTATCGATATATTCCTTAAAGAAGTTCACTTGTACCCAACCTTTTTGATGCACAAGATCAGCTGTGTAAGCAACCTGTATGACTATATATAAAGATATAGAGTGACGTACTAACAGTAGCTGTCAAAGGAGAAATATTTTATTCACTAACATATTGCTCATTTCATAAGCTAAGAATGAAGATGAGACTATAACTACGTAATCACGAAATTTTTAGCCCTTATTAAAAAAAATTTTCAATCAACTCTTGACGTCGATTATCGAGATATTGCAGGTTATATATCAGAAAAGTACTGATTCTTACAAGACTGCACGTTAAAAGTTCCAAAATAAGATTATCAATATCTCACTTTACAAGCTATGAAGAGACTTAAAATTTGAATCAAAGGTTTTCATACACTTAAGTATTATCAATATATTGATGTTAATTCTCTAAGCGAGTGAACTTCCTAAAAATTATTAAAATAATGTGATCGGTAATGTCAAATAATGATAGTGGGTTTCGCGGATTGTTTAACAAAACGAATTTACATAAGCCTTGTCACAATATAGGTCAAGCAGTAAAATAAGGTGTCTTGGATTTAGAATCTTAATATAAAAATTTGTGCTATGTGATTAAAGTTTCAGATTTTTACTAAATGAAATTTTTCTTTACATTGCAGCAGAAGCAATGGAAATCATTTTATTTAAGCACAATCTTACTTTTTTTGTAATAAAAGATTTGGACTTAAACACAGTACTTTAAACAGAGACAAACTATGACCTACGTCAACAACGCAATGGCATAGGAGCGGCAAGCTCACAGGTGGGTGGCTATTGCAAGTTTTATGTAAAGAACTTCTCTTTACATATATAGTGGTGGGGCTTTACTCACTACGTGCTCCACATGCCAACCCCCCACAGTCAAACTTTTAATTTTTAAAATTGGGTACAGGGGAATTATATCTCTCTGTGGTTCTTAGGGCTGCATGGTTTTTGTCATAGTATGAGAAGATGCTTTTTTACGAAAATACCAAAACATTTGACACAAAATATTTTTATTAACTTAATCTTGTATGTATACAGGTTATTCTACTAAAACCATTATATATCAAGGGCTGAAATGGGCAAACGGGTTTTTAACTGTTAAAATACTTTTTTCGCATTGTCCGTGATCATGATGATCTAAAACTTTTTAGGCCCTGCTAGATCTGCAGGAGAAAAATTTTTACGACCACTTTTATTTTATTTTTGATTAATAGATCAATTACAAGCTCTTATAAAACTTTATTTATAATCTCTCTTTTCTGAAAAAAAAAAAAAATAATAATCACACATGCCGCCGGCCAATTGAAGTTTATTTTTCGATAAAATTGCAGTTTTTTAAAATATATTATGAAGATTCTAGTTTTAATCACAAATGATAAAAACGTGCTTGTGGAATATTAAATTCTCTACATAATAGTGTCTTCCAATTTTTTATAAAGTGAATACTGATGCGAGTAATCTCATTAATGAATTCATAACCGCTTTTTAATCATCATTTTAAAGACTAAAAAATTTATTTTTCCTAAATTATAAAAAAAAAAATATATTATATTAACTTCATTCAAAATCGAAAGACACTATTATGTAGAGAATTTATTATCCTACAAACACGTTTACATCATTTGTAATACTATGAATCTGACGACAGCAGGATATTGCAATATTAAAGTATGACTCCAACGGCAATGCTGTCCAATGGTCTTTATTTATTTATTAAAGCAACGTTTCAGCCACTTTAGAATGAGGCCCTTTTCAAGCAAACTATATCACAGTATGCAGGCTTTACGTGATCGCTTAAATTTGTCGAGATCTTACTTAATTGACTGTAGCCTGTAAGCGACTCGAACATACTAACGAAAATTAATTTCTATACCGAGGACAGGTATGAAGACATGCGCTTACAGGTTACAGTCAATTAAGTAAGATCTCGACAAATGTAAGCGATCACGTAAAGCCTGTATACTGTGATATAATTTGCTTGAAAAGGGCCTAATTCTAAAGTGGCTGAAACGTTGCTTTAATAAATAAATAAAGACCATTGGACAGCATTGCCGTTGGAGTCATACTTCAATATTACGTTTACATCATTTTTGATTAAAACTTGAATCTTAAATTAGAATATATTGAAAAAAACTGAAATTTTATCGAAAAACAAGCTTGAATTGGCCAGTGGCACGTATTACTTTTTTTTTTTTTCAAAAAAGAAAATTTTCCCTGTAGTTTTTTATCAAAAGAAAATTTTTTTTTGGGCGCTTAAAAAAATTTAATTTCCGATGACCACCCTAATAAATATATACGCCTTGTTAATTTTGCACGAATGGCGGTGGTTCTGCTGCTTACTCCCTTGAAGTTCACTATATTATGGAGGTCTGAGAAATATTTCTAAGACTTTACTACACTTTATAAGGTGACCCTTATCTTTTTCAATTAGACCCTGGCTGTTACCAACCAATCAGCGCATTCTTTGCTCTCAGCGAATCACACCGGGGGAACGGACCCGATGCTTCCCCATGCATGTTGTCTGCTATTATTTTTGTGCTAGAAAGAAGCGGTTTTATCGACAAATTTTAACTTGATCTCTTTATACATCGTAAAATTCATGAATTAGAAGTACTGTGCCAGAGCTAAGAACTAAGAAAATAACTTAATAAATTTTTAGCAAATGATTTGTCATACCCTAAGATATTAGGTTCAAGTCAATAGGGTTACAGCTGGGGTAGGTAAGTGACGTGCCGTGTGTTCCAGTAGCGCTCTCTGACAACTTACCAACAACTTAAACATAACGCAAGATATCGTAAGACACGATGAAGTTGTCGGTAAGTTGTTGGAGAGCGTTACTGGAACACACCCATAGAGTTGTGGTTTATGACGACAGATACACGTCATAAATTATCGAAAATGTAAGAAAGGTGTTTTATACATCATAAATGGCATCAAATATACACTGAGAAAAGTTTTGAGGAGCTGCCTCTCTGTAGTTAAGGAACAGCTCCCTTATCACTGTTAAGCAGCTACTTCCCGAAATTTAAGTAGCTAGCACTCGAGGCAACCGAGTAGTAGGCACACTCTTCCATCGAGTGACATTTCGAAATTCGGAAAACTAATGTTGCTCGTAAACTTAATATATAATAGGGGAACGTGGGGCGCAGTCGGACACCTTTTTTTCATTATTTCACTGTGACAACAATTTTGAGTATTTTATTATTGTCCAAGCGTTATTGACACGGTAAGAACCTTGACTTTACCGTGCCATACTTTGCTAAACTTTAATCTATATATATATTTTTTTTATGCTGAAGAACGAGAACATCCAAAACTGCTCACTCTTGCCTCACCATAGGGTACGGGTGAGCAGGGGGTGGGGCGCGGATGGGCACGGATAAATAATGCACCCAGTATGACAGTGTGTAGGGTTTTTGAAACTGATCTTAAATCTAAGTTTATTTTTCAGTACTTACAGTATTCGTATTAAAAACATTGTAACAAATAATATAATATACACAATTTTTAAGTATTAATCTCTTGTAATTTTAAATTACATTTTAATCACAATATTATCGCATTTCTTTAGATTGATTCATGCTAATACAACACTCAAAAGTAATATATTTTGAAAAATAATTAAAATAAAGAATTAGATATCGTTTTGAAAAATAATTGGTATATTTTCAATTAAGATGCAATATTCCTCGATGCAAATATTTGAGTTAAGCACACTATATTCCATTGTTGATGCGTTTAATGGCAATTTCCACATCACCATCAGTCCAAGAACGCTTTGTGCTCTTTGAACAATAGTTTCGAACCATCACTCTTACTTTATAAACTATTTGAAAAACTACATAAAAAATCAACAAAAATAAAAATAAATAGCCTAACCTATAAAGTATGACAGCTGACAGCTAACCACATACAACTGGTATACCTATACCTACAAATAGCAGACGCTCGATGCGGAACTGCTTTCTTGCTCGGGCCCATTTGCGCCCCACCTTGGTGCCCATTCCCACCCTCGCAACACATATTTTTTATTTATTAATAACTCTTTTATTACAAGTAAAAAAAA